ATACCCTGCCCTGTGGCCCCAGCCAGAACCCTCTCCCCTCCCCCATATCCTGCCCTGTGGCTCCAGCCAGAACCCTCTCCCCTCCACATCCCTACCCCCCACATCCCTGCAGCCAGTGCCCTCCCCCATACATGCCTCTATCTCTGAATGCATGCCTCCACTCTCCTGTACACATTTATCTATTCATCCATCCCTTCAAGTCTTGTCTCTTTCTTTCCCTTCCTGTTTCATTCCCCCTTTTCCCCCCTTCCATGCTGTCCCTTGGGGGTCACCCTTTCTAAGCTCTCCTCTCCCAATCACTCCTCTCCCTTGCACTCCAGGTCTGGCTCGGAGCCCCCCATGGGCGGCTGCTCCATATGGAGTGCGAGCAGATGGGACTAAGAGGGATGGATCCAGTCCAAGGTCATGGAGCTTCACCAGAGAAAAGTGCTTACGGAGGGGCCGAGAGGCGGGCAGGGGGATTGGGTGGGAGCCAGGCAGTGTGCCCCTGGGGTTAGCAAGGAATTAATTGCTCCCCCAGCTTGGCCCTGCTGAGGTGATTTATATCCTGCCAACACAGAGCCCTGAAGAAGCAATTTAGGAGCCTGGCTGCTGTGAGGGAGGCCAAGGGGTCGAGTTGATTGGCTACTTAGCACTCCCTGTGCAGCGTGGGAGCAGGCTGGGACAGCCATGCCCCCCAGAGGGCGCTGTGCTGCAGGGAGCAGGCAGGAGCCCAGTAGGGGGCGCTCTCCCCTCTCAGGCCATGCTGACCCCAGTGCCCCAGCATGATGCTAGGGGCGCTGTGCTGCGGTAAGCTCTGGTTTTCCAATGCGACATAGAGCCAATGTGAACCCTTGTGTTCATTAAATCCTCAGGCATTGAACCTGGTGTCTTGGCAAAATCCCAGATGGGTGAGTCCATTCTGTCTTGCCGCAAAAACTGTTGTTTGAATTTGATACGGGATTTTCCTTCACTATGTGTCCACAGAAGTCAGGCTGTGTTGCTGTGTGGGAGTTAAACAATGCAGCATCCCACCCCAGAAGTGGCTGCATCTCAATGCCAGGCGAGAGATCCCTGTGTGAACAGCCCCCACTTCCCATCCAAAAATGTCTCCCATCCCAACCTTACTTCTCTTCTGAATACACATCTCTAAGTCACCCTCCTCAGCTGTCAGATGGGCACATGAAGGTCTAACCTTAGTTCCTGTGGACACGGGTACCAGGAGCCTGCTGGCAGGCTGAGGTGGATCTGTGGCTGGTTTTTAACCCCTTCTTGGAGTGAAAAAATAATTTGTTTCATTTAGATTTTATAACCTTTGCCATAAAGAGAGGGAGAAAACGGAAAAGCCAGGCCGACAGTGCAGAGTCCAGGTGCTGTTAGGAACAGAGTTATAGAGGTGCTGTGTGTGACACAGGTCTAGTGGGTCAGGGGAGTGTGTGTGCTTGGGGGACATGCTGTGGTGGTGTTAGACTGATCTGAGATGCACCTTCTTCTGGGGTGATGCGGTTGCAAGCAGAGGGAGAGTTTGCTTTGGGCCTAGGGCTGTGTCTGAAGTGCAGAGGAGAGGGGTAGGGAGGCCGTGTGGCCTAGTGGGCACTGGTCTGGGACTCCACTGACCTGGGTTCCATTCCTAGTGCAGCCACTGGCTGCTGGATGACCTTGGGCAGATCACATCTCTGCTCTGTGCCTCAGTTTACCCCTCTGTAAAGTGGGGTTAATGATGCTGACCTGCTCTGTAAAGTACTTTGAAATCTACTGACGAAAATCCCTAGATCAGAGCTACGTATTATTATTGTTTTACACTGAGTTAGGTATGTGATGTAAAATCCTAGGGGAGACAAGGCACTGGAGTTTTCATTATCAGGGTCAATCCTGGTGTGCTGCAGTGTGTGGAGTGTGGGGGCACTCTCCCCTGGCAGTCAGTGCTGACCCCAGTGCGGCACCAGGGGACATTGTGTTGCAGTCTGTGGAGTGGGAGGCTCACTGGGGGGTACTGTCCCCAGGTCGACCAGTGACACTGATGTAAAAATGCCCCGCCGTTTTGCCCAAGACTCTCTAAGTGGAGTCGCTCCTAAGTGCGACGTTACTCCTGGCGAGCCAGGTGTTGGTGCTTGGGCTGAGCTGCCTGTCTGTGGGCTGATTTCATGGCGCAAAAAGCCGTCTCTTCAGGAAATTGTGTTTTCCCGAGCGGGGGATTGTTAGGGAACCAGCCCCCCTGGCCTCCCCCAGTCCCCGTGTCCTGACGGGCTCTGATCGCCGCCACGAACGGCTGGCGCTGACACTAACACGATGATTGCGGGGGCCGGGCACAGGCGAGACAGGCAAATTTGTTTCCTCAGCATCACCAGATGGCAAGTTAATTGTCAGGTGCCAGCAGCAGAGAGGCACTCCCCTCACCAGCGGCGCTGAGCCGGAGGGTGGGGGTGTCCCTGCTGCCAGGGCGATAGCTGCTCGGGGAATGGGAGATGGGGAGTGAGAGCACACTCAGACAGACAGACAGACACATGCACACGTACAGTGACACCACTGCTTGAATTACAGACTCTAGGCCCCCTTACTACCTTTAGGGGCTACCTCGCTTCTACCTGAGGGTCCCTGTACCTGTTTAAATTCAAGCAGGCCCCTTGACAGGCAGGGCCCCCCTCTTTTCTTCCCCATGCTTTGAACACTGAGAGAGACGTGCACAGACACACACAAAATGCTTTAGTGTAGAGCAGCCTAGGGGCTAGCAAGGGGGCCAGGCCTCCTGGGTTCTGTACCAGGCTCTGGGATGGGAGTGGGGTCTAGCACGGGGGGGACTGAGAGCCAGGACTCTTGGGTTCCATCCTTAGCTCTGGCAGGGGAGTGAGGGCTGCTGGATTACAGCAGGGGCAGGCTGGGAGTCTATTTTCAGCTATGCCACTGACTTGAGTGAGTCACTTTTCGTCCCTCATTGCCTCAGTTTCCCCACCCACCCTTTGTCTATTTAGGCTGTGAGCTCTTTGTGATATGGATTGTCTCTCTCTGTAGGTCTGTGCAGTGCTCAGCAAAAAGGGGCCCCCAATTTCGGTTGGGGGATCTGTGCGGCACCTGGCACGATGGGGCCCCGATTACAGTTGAGTCCTCTGGGCTCTTTAAATGAATAATAACGTAGACACAAAATGATGATGATATTTACACACCCCTTGTGCACATTCTCCCTTCTTGCATGCTCTCATCCTGCCTCGTGCACACAGACTCCTTGTGCATCTGCCCCCTTCTCGCACTCTCTGATCCCGCCTTGTGCACACACACTCTGTGTGCTCCTGCCCCCTTTTTACATGTTCTCTAAACCTTGAGTGCACACACCCTCTGTGCACCTGCCCTTCACTCTGTGCCACTTTCTCTCTGTGCAGGGAAGGAGGAATACGTGGCGACCTTCAAGGGCAACGAGTTCTTCTGCTACGACCTGTCCCACAACCCGATCCAGAGCAGCACTGATGAGATCACACTGTCCTTCCGCACCCTGCAGCGCAATGGCCTCATGCTGCACACGGGGAAGTCGGCCGACTACGTCAACCTGTCACTCAAGAGCGGGGCTGTGTGGCTAGTCATCAACCTGGGGTCGGGTGCCTTCGAGGCGCTGGTGGAGCCCGTCAATGGCAAGTTCAATGACAACAACTGGCATGACATCCGGGTGACCCGGAACCTGCGCCAGGTATGCACCAGCGCCAGCTGGGACCCGCGTGGCTGGTTGGGACAGGGGGGGCTTGCACTAGTGATCCTCCCTGGGCAGCGTTGTCTATGGTGTGCCCCCGCTGGCATTGCTGGTGGGCAGGGCCGTAGCAACAAAGAACGTGGCCCCCTTCGAACGGTGGCCCCTTCCGAACATATGTCCGGGCGGGGCCCCTTACAATGCAGAAACTGGAATGCAGTATTTATTTTGCCACTTTTAGGGGCCCCCCTCCGGTCGGAGGGTACGGAGGGCGCTCGCTACGCCTCTGCTGGTGGGATGTGCCCCAGTGATGTTCCCACCAGGGCAGCATTGTCTGTGGTGCGCCTCCACCCCATGGCATTGCTGGGGGGACGTGCCCCCAGTGATGCCCCCCCCAGGGCAGCATTGTCTGTGGTGTCCCCCTGCCCCATGGCATTGCTGGAAGGACATGCCCCAGTGATGTCCCGTCCCCCCCAGGGCAGCATTGTCTGTGGTGCGCCCCCACCCCATGGCATTGCTGGGGGG